TGTCCCTCCTTCTCAGAAGGTCCCTGAACTGAAACTTAAGGAAAGGCTCCTGATGGCCGACCTGGAGTTCCCACTAAGGAATTGCAAACTCCGGGCCTGTTCACCGGGCCACCTTCCCAGAAATCCTGACAATTCTGCCCCCAAAAGCGAAAAAACCCAGAGGCCTGGATGTTATTTCAGGTGAGGGAGGGAACGGTGAAATCAAAGCTAGTGTAGACCCAGTTTGGCCTGGGATAAGGAAACGCTGGAGGCAAGTACCTCCTTCCTGGAAATCTACGGGAACCCACACCCAGCTGTGGGGATGGCCCAGGACCGCGTTTAGGAGAGGTGCTGACTGGCATTAGCAGCCAGAGTCCGGGCAAAGGTCAGGCCCCCTTCCCGGAACGCAAACTGGCTGAGCTCTGACCAGTCTGGCCTGGGTCCTGCTGATTCCTGGAAGGAATGGAAGGGGGTCTTCCCATTCCCACTGTGGGCTCACCCTGACAATGCCAGTCCAGCACCCCAACCTTCACAAAGGACTCTGGACTGAAAAAAGTACAACAAATGAGCTTGAGAAATGAAGTAACGAAGTCATCAACCCAGCCCAGGAGCCTGGCCTGCTCTGAGATGCCCCGGAGGGGCTGGTGGGCATCTGGATCACCAGTGCACGGGAACCTCAGGAACAGGGAGCCCCCGGGCCGCCTCTCAACTCAGTTGTTCAGCTTTTCCTCAACACTCCTCACTCTTCCCCCAAGTTGTAAATCCCCGGGCACTCCTGTCCATCCATACTTGCTGAACACACAGAAGCAGCCAGCGTGTGCCCCCACTCGGGTGCAGGAGCTGGGGAAACAGGGCGTGAGGCTGTCCGCGAGCAAACACAGACCCCTCCAGCAGCACCGCAGGGCTAGAACACCCTGCCTCTCCAGTGGAGATGGTGCCACAAGCTCTGGCCTCACACCTGTCCCTCCATTTCTAGTTCTTGGGCATGCCCCAGCCCCCCGAGTCCAGGTGTGCTTGTCATGCTTCCCCCATCCTAACTGAGCCTTTCAGTCTCCACAGGCCCCTTCAATGATCCTCCACAGGGCTCCTCAGATGACCCATCCCTGTGTAGACAGGTTACTTGGAGCACAGCTATTAGACGACTTAGTTTCAAGGTTAAACTCTGGGAATGCAGCATCGTTTATACTTCTATTTCTGGGTCTCACCCGGCTTTTACCAAAAACATAGATGTTAAGTTTGGTTCTCTTGACCGAGTGGAAGACTTGGACTTTGATCCAACAGGATTCTTGAGACGTTTTTTCTACTTCCTAAAGATCAGAGAGATTAAAGAGCAAGGAAATTTGCAAGTCTCTGTTGGCCTGAAACAAATTAATATCATTGTGATTCTGGTCAAATATGTTCTTATAAGATATACAGCCTCTGAAGGGGCAGCTGTGCGTCCCGACGTGTGTGTGCGTGCACACGTGTACATGTGTTTGTGACTTTCAGAAAACAGCATCTATCTATCACTCAGCTAAGACTCTGCTATGGTAGGCAGATCCATGTCTATGCTTCTGAAGGTTTACTACTGGGGTGGAAACAACCTATAAGCAGGAATAACCAGCATCCAGTCGAATACCTGCACTTATAGACGAGGACGTGAAATTCGTACAGAGAGCCTGCTGTGGAAAGGAGCCAGCAGGAGGGACCAAGTTTCCATGAGCTGCAGTAACACTTCTTTACAAATCAATATCTGACAGATAGAAACCTTGAAATGTGTAGTTGTTACCAAATTGCAATAAAATAAAGGGAATATCATCAGAGTAGATTCCTTTCCCTCTATCTCAAACTTCCAATTATCCAATTTGGTAAGAATTCTTTCTGAAATAATTCAATACTTTTGAGAGACGCTGTCATGCAGCCACTGGTAGGAAATGTGACACTGACAGCACATGAGCATGTGTCCTAAACAGTCACGCTGCCCTCGTGTTAACCTCATTGTTCATCATCACTTCCTCTGACTTTGTGAGTTTAAGCAAACGATATTGAACAAAGTCCCAACACACACACACACACACACACACACGCACACGCACTTGCACACGCATACATACACGCCAATACAAAGGTGTAGCTGTCAGAACCCAGGTTGGAACCTCCAGCCTCAGACAGTGTAATCTGATTCCTAAGGTCACCTTTTGACAGAAACCACCCATTGCCTTCACTTTAATTAAACAAGGAGAAATAAAGCCATCTGAGTTCAGTAAACAGCTGACTCAAATTTCAGAAGCTATTCTTACACAACCTCTTCTCCAGTGGGAGAGACCACAATGGCCCAGCAAAACAATGGGTGTGTGCGTGCCAGCCGCCAGGTGAGGGCCTGCACCTGCATCCTCAGCGGAGGCCGGCAATGCCCTAACCGCCTCCTGCACGTGGCCCCGAAAGGCCGAAAGGCAGAGACACGGCCTCTTTCAAGGACGGCAGCTGCTCTGAAGAGAATGCACCTCTCAGACACAAAGAAGCGCGGGGCTTCCGTAGGGCTGGATGCTCTGGGGAGGTGGCTGTGTGCTGCCCATGGGTGCGACTCATACACGTGGACTCACAGTGTCCCAGTGCAAGCTGCACTGGCACCTGGGAAAGTTTCCGTTGGTGCCCTGATATGAATCCACTCCCTTGGGTAGCCGTGGAAAGGCAAAGATAAAATGGAAAAACAAACAACACGGTCCCGACGTCAATAAAAAGCTGTCAGGCCAAGTTCAGAGCTCTACGAGGCCTGTGTTGTGGAAAGATCCTGCAGTCAATCCACCGACCACCAGCTGGAGGCTCTCACGCCACCTACAGCCTGACCACAGGCTCTTCTCCACGGGCTTACTGAGTTCCTCTAAGCCTCCAAATGAGGGATGACAAGAATCAAGGTCTTAGAAGTGCCTGTCAAGGTGCCATCACCCTCCCGCAGCAGAGGGCACGCTCTGGAACCGATCAAACTGGTTCTCTCCCAGCAGATGGCAAGAGAACAACCATCAAAAACAAAACACAAACAGCAAAGGCTGCGGGAACTGAGACCTGTTATCACCCTCTTGAATTCACCGAACAACAAATAAGGCTTTTCCCCGCTCACTGTGTACTTTGCTTGTGCCAGAGCCGGAGTTAAGAATCTTCACACGTTATTTCATCCCATCCTTATCAGCGAGCTGCGAGGAAGGGGGTAGTATCCCCACTGTGCCGAACAGGGAAGTGGAGCCCGGAAGCAAAAGGACTCAGTTCAAGGTCACTCAGCTCTCCTGTTGTCACAGCCTGCGTGGGACCCCGACCTGACTCTAGCCCCACATAATCACTGCTATATTCTGTGCTACACGTGCGTGTGAACATGCCTGTAGATCTATTGAAACATCTAGAACATACACGACTCAGTCTTAAAGAGCCTGACCACCTCTCCCATCACTAATGATCATGGTTACCTAGAAAAACAGTGATGCATCCACTGTACAGCCCAGTAGACCACGTTCCGTGGAAGTCCCACAAGTATGACCCAAACAGGCAATAAAGTATTGGGTACCCCTGTCTGTTTCTAAACGCCATGCCAATGCATACAGCCACATAATGCCAACGGGTTTGATAAGCTGCCCTTCAAAGCTTGTATCCGATGTCCCTCTAAAACAGTAATTCTTCTCGATCGGGACACAGGCTGGAGCATTTCTGTGCAGCTGTGGTTCAGCACCTTTCCCAGACGCAGTCAACACCCTGCATAACTTCCCACATGGCACTTTCTCCACTGAGTCGCCTTTTCCCTCCTTGCTGATAAGGCACATGCCAATAATGTGGTTTCCTTTATACACTGGCTTCCAGGAATCTCGGAGGCCTGTTTGCACGTTTCATCCTCTCAGTTAACATTTACAAAGGGAGGTTTGCCTCCCAGACCTTTTTCTCAGCCCCACTGCCTGCCATTTTTAGTCGAACTTCACACCCACTTTTTAAGCCATCGCAATAAAACAGAGGATCTGCTACCAGAAGAGGCCTAGAAAAACGAGCATGGGGCAAACAGCCGAGGGTTCAGAGCATGACAATCACATGAAGATTCCTTGATTCCTGTGTCCCAAACACCCCAGGTGGTCACAGAGGTGCCTTGCCCGACAAAGACTCTCACAGAGCATAGCTTTAGCAGGTGCAGGGCACCTGTGCCATCAGAGGCACAGGAAGCAGGAAGGTGGGTGAAATCCCCACCAGGACTTTGGATTCTGTATATGGTGAAACCAGGGCCAAGGGCAAGGTGCCGCGTCCAGCCTGGGAAGCACAGAGGACGCACCTAGTAGATATCCTGGAGAAGGCGCCGGGGCACACCTGTCTCCTCTCCTCACAGGTGAGGCTGGGAAAGGCACACACTCCCCGCACAGTGAGTCACTTCCAATTTGCAATAAGAGGGCTGTCGGCATCCTGTTGTCCTGAAAGTGCGCTGCGCCAGGTGTCCCGCAAGCTGCTACTAAGTCATTAACACCAGGCTTAACCCCCTCCAAGGGTTGGTAAGGAGGTGGGGGGCAAAGAAAACACCCAGAGGCACAATGACATTCAAAGAACATATCCATTTAAAAAGCAGACAAGGATAAAGACCTGCCAAAGTGAAAGTGTTATCTCTGAGTTTACCTTCAATCTGATAGAAAGCTGGCATCGGTCAGAGCCTCTGCTCCAAAGCCACTGCATCGTGCCCTCCACAGACACCCTGGACTCAAGTGCTTTGCCCACATCTCTATCACTAAGAAAATGAACGAGGAGCATCTTTGCATTACAGCAGGGGAAACTCGGGCTCAGGGAAATGAATCCCTGAAGTAATTATCACTGATGGGAAAGGTAGTTCTTACAAAGGAGTGCATGATTCACTCATCTTAAGGAAAGCGTGCAAACAGCTACTGCCAGGTGGTCCAGGGTCCCTACAGAGCTCTGTGAACAAAAGCTACAGCTCAAACAGAGGGAGAGGATCCTACAGGGGCCGGGAGACTCCCCAAAGAGGGCACGGCAGAAAGGGCCCCAAGGAAATGCCAGGGACTTACCTGTTCCAGGTGGACTTGAGCACAGTGGGGACTCAGCACCTAAAGGGAGAAGAAATTCGGTAAACAGGTGGGTTCTCCCAAGAAAAAAAACGCAGCATCATGATCAAGCGAGGCTCCCAAACCTGAAATTACCCCTGACCACGTGCACACAAAGTTTCGCATCTCAAGACAAAAAAGACCTAGCGTTTACAGAGTCCAGATTTTTGTTCACTTTTGTAAAGTCCACATCCTTTTCAGAGAATGTCATGAAAACCATGGAGCCTCTCCCCAAGAGAAATGTCCATCGCTCACAAATACAGGACTTCATCTTTAATGTGGAAGACGGAGCAGACTCCCAGGCTAGGAACTTCTGACTAGGGCGAGCCTCTCCTCACCTGGTAGCAGGGGGAACGGGGGCCAGGAGAGGGAGCTGGGGGCCCTGCCTGCGGGTCTTCCAGCTGCCCCAGGACCTCACAAACACGCTCAGGGCTCGCGTTCTCTACAAAACAGATTTGCCTTTTCTAGAACTACTTCCACAAGCGGAACCAAAACCAGAGTCTAAATGTGGACATTTCACTCTAGGCTGAAGCTTAGTGATTAGACAGGGGGAAGGAGTCCCTTGGACTCCACCCCGGGCCCCTGCAGATGTGAGCACGTTAAGAAAGACACACAGGCCAACGTGATGAGGCCACAGCTGCAATCACGTCAGAAGAAACACAGTTACAGGCACCCGGGACAACAGACCCAGTGGAGGTAAAGACCCCAGCTCTGGAGACCCCGTCTTGGGTGGGACTCCCGCTCCACCACTTCCTGGCCATGGGCCCTTGGGCTCTAATCGCTCTGGGCCTTGGTTTCCCCATCGGAGAACTGGAAGTTGTGAGAGCTTGCGGCGCTGAGCACAGGGGCTGACACAGGGCAGCTTCTCCTCCGGGGAACACGGTGCCCTCCCTGAGCAGAAAGGGCTGTCGGCAGGTGAGGGAATCAGACCTGCTTCCTGCAGTTGTGGAAGGCCAAGATCCTGGCACCTGCAAGCAGGATCCAGCTCCCCATAGCTGCGTCCTGGCTCACCTCCCTCCGGACCACGTGCAGCCCCATCCTCAAAGCGTTTTCTAAAAATGTGTGATGGCAGGAGAAATCCCAGGGATCTGACTAATTGTCCTTGTGGGTTGGAGCGGGCAGCAGTGCAACCTTGGTTCTTGCCATGGCAACTATTTATAGTCCTCCGGCTTGTCTTACAGAGTTCCTTAAGGAGCGTGATACACACTCATTCATTTGTCTGCGTCATATTATTACTCCACCAGGATTCTGACTCATGTTCTCGTCTGGGACAGGGGCCCTCTCTCCTGGCACCCCATCTTCTTTCCCCCCTACCTAGCATACACTTACTTAGCAGCCGCTCTCACCGGCCAGAATCGCTGAGCTAATAATTGCTTCACTTTACACTGGGAATTCTTAGGAAGCAGGAACAGTCTCTGGAAATAGAGGGAGCTACACACAGATGCACACAGGATGGTGCTGGCAGTCAGACAAGGAGCCCCTGTGGTCATGGAGCACGGTGATTAATTTTACCCTGTGTACAGTCCTCACGTGGTGCGGGCTTGTGTCCTGGGGCTTCACTAAATGCTTGACGCACTGGTGAGAAGTGTGCAAGCCACCAGAGCTCCTGCCTTTGGCAAATTGTTATCTGTATTCCACGCAATGGAATACTAATCCAGCGACAGAGGAAGTGAGCTGTCAGGCCATGAAACGATATGGAAGAAGATTAAAGAGCTATTTGCCAAATGAAAGAAGCCAATCTGAAAAGGCGGCATACGCTGCATGATTCCAACTTTGTGACATGCTGGAAAAGGCAGACTATGGGGACACTAAAACGGTCAGTGGATGCCAGGTATTGGGAGAGGGATGAGAGGGTGGAGCACGGAGGAGCCTTAGGGCAGAAAAACTGTTCTTTGTGGTGCTTAACGGTGGGTGTGTGCCACTATACATTTGTTCAAATCCTAGAATGTATAGCACCATGTAAATTATGGACTTTGGTTGATAATGTATCAATATTGGCTCATCAAGTATAACAAATGCACCACACTAATGCAAGATATTCATAATAGGGGAAATTATGAGGGAGGAAAATGGGTATAGGTTAACTCTCTAACCTACTTGTCTAATTTTTCTGTCAATCTGATACTGGCCTAAAAATTAAAGTCCATTAATTATTTTTCATTCATTGTCTGGAAGATGTGTTTGTTAAGAGAACAAAAGCAGGGCTTCCCTGGTGGCGCAGTGGTTGAGAGTCCGCCTGCCGATGCAGGGGACACGGGTTCGTGCCCCGGTCCGGGAGGATCCCACGTGCCGTGGAGCGGCTGGGCCCCCGAGCCATGGCCACTGAGCCCGCGCGTCCGGAGCCTGTGCTCCGCAACGGGAGAGGCCACAGCGGTGAGAGACCCATGTACCGCGAAAGAAAAAAGAGAGAGAGAACAAAAGCAAAAGCCCTATGCAGTAGCAGAAACTTGAGTTTTAAAAACAGCAACCACTAGGAAGTCAGTCCAGAAGCCAGCCGTGTCCTGCACCTCCCATGTCCCCTAGAGCCACATGAAGTGCAATGACACCGGCCATGGCCCCAGAATGTCCTCCAGCAAACGAGAGAGAGCTCTGTGCTCTGGGGCTCTCCCAATCCCACCTCCTGGGACCACCACAGTAAGCCCCATCTATGGCTGACAGTGTCACTAAGAGCTGTGCAATCCGCACCCTGACCTTCTCATTTATACTGAGTGCCTTCTCTTGCCAGGCACTCGCTGGCCTTCACGGCAATACATTAGTAGAAAAACGGACAAGTCCTCAGGAAGGAGACACTGGCTAACACAAACTGCATAAACTGTACTCTTCATTGGGAAGTGAGCTGTGGCATGGGGTGCGGTGAGCGGGGCTCCCCAGTTCAGGGGAGCAAATGTCAAGCAGCAACTCTG